AGAGCTAATCTTCAGTATCATTGAGTGTGTTTACATACACTTAATAATCCAATAACTGCAGAAAATCAGATTTTGTCAGTAATCCTATCAGCGCATTTATATGCTCTTGGGTAATCAGATAATGGGAAAACTCCGGGTCTACATGAGTCAGGCAGTAATCGGATATCTGCAGATTTGTACTCACAGAAGAAGACGTGATGTAAATGTCGGTTTCAGCATCACTCCAAAAGTGTTTTGCTGCATCTCGCAGCAACACTGCTTATCCATTTCTGGAACCGCGGTCTGATCTCACACATGCACAAACTAAGATATCTGAAAGAAATCAGAGTAAGAGTTTACACACACTGAGAAATCTGATTACTGAGCTAAAATCCAGCTCTCTTTATCGGACTTTCCAATCAGATTTCTAGATGGGAATATGGCGTTCACATGACCATTTGAATAATCAGATAACTGCAGAAATCTGATTATGATCGGATTATTGAGTGCATGTAAACGCTCTCTGTGTTTAAAAGTCTTTTGGAGCATGTAAAAGAGGGGAAATGTGTGATTTGTACAGTGAAAACTGCCAATGCAAACTTAGTTATTGACTCACTACAATACCTAGGCTTGCTAGGATTAGGTTTTGGGTTGAGGTTAAGGTTGGGGATGAGGATTAGGGCCAGGGTGAGGGTTAGGATTAGGTTGTGGGTTGAGGTTAAAGTTAGGATTAGAGCCAACAGAACATCTACAAGACATTTACTTCACTGTATTCAGATGCTTCACTACTGCTACTTCACTGATATGTTATTGATGTGTTACTGATAATCTGAGTTTCTTAATCATCTACAAAGGACCACTCCACATAAAGCGTTACTGAAGTTTTATCCAATCAAACTATTTACCTTAAAAAAAACAGGTTTGATTGGTTCAGACTATCCTCAACGTTTCAGATGGGTGCACTGTTTTTAGGCACTAGGCAGCACGACAACATGATCACTGAGAGGATTAGGGTCTGAATCTGTTTACCTTAGACTGCACTGTGGCCATAGCTACCCGTCCACTGAGCTCAGCTGAAAATAAAGCCATTGATAGAGTGTCCAGAAAGTTTACCACTTTTATTCACAGCAATCATTTTGAACCACTTTTCAGCATCAGAGACACATTCGATTTAATAGAGAACACTCTGCATAACTAGAAGGGGAAAGTTTGTGAACGAACTTCAGGTCGGGTTGACAAAGCCGTTGCTATGGTATCCCAGAGGGCTGTTAAGGTGTTGCTAGGCCATTGCTGCGGTATCTCACACATCTCTGTGCCAGTCACAGTCACGCTATGCTGTAGTCAGTCATGTGTGTGTGTGTGTGTGTGTGTGTGTTTGTGTTTGCAGTCAGATGAGGAGCAGCGTTTCGTGGAGGAGCTGCTGAATTTCCTGGTGTGTGTGAATCCACACAGCTTTGAGCTCATGGTGGAGCTGCTCAGCCTGCTGGCAGACAAACAGCTCGGATTACAGTAAGAAAAAACACATATACATACTCTATAAAATCAAACACAAAGCCTTCAGAACGTCTCTGAATTAACCTCTTAAACTGCTGGATTTACACTTAAACAGGAATTGAAATCCTAAAAATTATTTACTCCAAAATCAAGGTCAGCTGGGCCTGCTCAGCAATTTCATACCTGCCACAGAGCACACATGCATGGTAGGATGATGTTAACTGTTTAACCCTGGTGTGGTGTTGATGTGTTTGTTACTCAGTGGTCTGCTGGACCCACCACATTATTGTTTATTAAATCAATACAGCCATAACAATTTATGTAAAAATACCAAACGTTTAAAATATCCCAAGTGTCCAGCGTAGGGTTCTCCTTTAGCAGCTGTAGCCAGTCAGCAGCCTGTCCATGTTGTCCACACACACATATATACAAACACATACACACACACACTAACAGCAGGCCATGTAGGAGGAGAACAGAGTGAAGAACATAGCACCTCCACACTTTTACTCCCTGCAGGTTCAGCCCAACACCACATGTGTAATGTAAATGTGTGGGGGGTGAACAGTGTGAAGACCCTGAAAATGGGTTATTTTATATGTTCCTCACAGAAGTTGAGCAAAGGCCAAGAATCTGAGGTTGAAATGAGAATAAATCACACATTTTTTTCTTTTGATAAACATGATAATGGGTCCCACAGACTGAACACCACACAGGGTTAATTGTGTCATGCAGTGTGCTGGTCTTTGTATAGAAGCATCTGCAGTTCCTATTTGTTTTGGCTCATGTAAGTTTATATATATCGCTGTTAGAAGAAAACCTCCTATCTCCATTTTTGTCATTTTTCAGTTTTTGGCATAATTAGAAAATGCCTGTTGTTCTTTACATTGTGTGTGAATTTCATGAAGAATGGACCGAAACAAACGACCCAAAATGACTTGGAAAAAAGTCTGATTCCACTGACTTAATTAAAAGTAAAGTATGTTTTTTCCTTCTCCTGTAAAGTTACCATTTTGGAGATAAGAGCTTTTCTTCCAAGAACAGCGATATATATATATATATAGTGTCAAATGTTGAATAGACAAATAGAAATATCTCATTACATTTTACATTGACTTACATTAAAAATAAATGTTTTTGCCTTATTCTGTAAAGTTAGCATTATGACTTTTTTGGACAGTAATGGTCAACTTTTGCACTGGCTACATTTTATGTATTATTTTGTGTTTTATTTTATTTTTTATGTTAAATTCAGCAAATAAACAATAACTGTGTGTGAAGTGTGTCTCTGTAGAGGATGTATCTCTTATTTACACTCATAAAATCAACAAAAACATTTTACCAGGGGTGCCAAAAGTTTTGAATACGACTATGTTTGTTTATCTGTCACTTTCATGTGACTCTTCTCTCTCTTTCACCCCTCTCTGTCCCTCTCTCTCCTTCTCTTCAGGGGTCTGGCAGCGTGTATGCTGCAGGTTCTGGGAGTGGACGATACTCAGCAGTGGTTGCCTCCACAGCTGGAGCTCTTGGACTCTGAGGCTCGAAAGCAGCCGAACCCTCAGGACGCGCTGCGGGAGGCAGTCGGTCAGTGGCTCCACAGCTGGACCGAGGAATACAGAGTGAGAAAAGCAGAGATACTGACCGCTTCCACATTACTGACCCAGAGCGGTTTAAATCATTTACCACCACCAGTTACATTTGTTTATTTGGCTCATTTTTGAAAATAATCCTGAATTATTTCAAATAACTGAATCGTATCACAATTTAAAATTTCTGGAGCCTTGAATTTCCTTAAGAATCGTAATCGAATCAAGTGGTCGTGAGGTCAGAGATTTACCCCAGTGCAGAGTGAGGAAGAGGCTGTAAACTTTTCTTGGCGGTCGGTTTGTTATGTTTGCTGCGTTTAGTTTAGTCTCATTTAGAGACTTGCTTGTGATATAAACATCACTTTCGTAGTAAAACTAAATTGAAAATAAGTATTTTTAAAGTTCAAACTCGCTGCTGCCACACTCTGGAGAGTCTTTTCACTAATATGAAGGGAATCCTACTGTTTATTTGCTGAATTTAACACACTGGAGGAAAAATATATTTACATTTATATTTTATATAAGGGCGGCACGGTGGAGCAGTGGGTAGCGCTGTCGCCTCACAGCAAGAATGGCCTGGGTTCAATTCCTGGCCGGGCGACCAGGGTAATTTCTGTGTGGAGTTTGCCTGTTCTCCCCGTGTCTGCATGGGTTTCCTCCGGGTACTCTGGTTTCCTAGGTGTGAATGTGTATGTCTGTCTGTCTGTCTGCCCTGCGATGGACTGGCGACCTGTCCAGGGTGTTTCCTGCCTTCCGCCCAATGACAGCTGGGATAGGCTCCAGCACCCCACCGCAACTCAGAAGGATAAGTGGTTTAGATGATGTATGTATGTTTTTCCCAATTTGTTCAGCAAATAAATAAAAATTGTGCACTAAATTGTGCAGAAAATGCCAGTTTGTTCCCTGTAGGGGATACTTTTGTAGAGTATGCGCTCAGAAAATTAGCCAAAATATTTTTGCAGAAGAAGACTGAACACAAAAATCAACACAAATCACAAAACAATAAAACACACATTCCTAGAAATATTCTAAATTTCTATAGCCTTAGAATAAATAAGCTGCATTGCAGTCCATGTAGTTAAACATCAGGAACAGTAATAATCAGCCTTAGGATGTAAGTAAGGATTTATGTAATAAATAACATTTACATTCAGCTTGCATTAAAAACATATAACACAAAATAATAATAATAATAATAATAATAATAATAATAATAAAGTGTATTTATATAGCACCTTTCTTACATTAAAAATGCAGCTCAAAGTGCTTCACAATACAAAGTAAAAACAACAGAAGAAGAGAAAACATAATCAAAAATAAAATAAACTAATAATAAATAGCAGAAAAGGGGGTATATTCATAATTACACAATACATACACATATATATATATATATATATATATATATATATATATATATATATATATATATATATAATTTAAATAATAAAAAACACAAGATGTACAGATAAATAAATAAGGAAACAATATACAATAAAATTGTTGCTAATGAGAAAATACAAGTATTTTCCAGTAAATTCCAGTAAAAACAAAGGAAACAATAAAAAACTAGTTAAACACAAAAGTAAATAAACATGTTGAACTGTTCCTTATAAACATTGACAGAGGGAGGCTGACAGACGTTTAACGGTAATGTGTTCCAGATCTTTGGGGCATAAAAACAAAACACTGCCTCTCTGCTCTTTACAACGTTCATACGTGGAACATGGAGAAGCAGCACTAGATGATCTTAAAGCTCAATCTGGAACACAGTCTGTCAACGTGGCAAACAAATTAGTGTTTCCTGTATGTCCTGTTTGATTTGTTGTTGTTGTTGTTGTTGTTAGCGCTGATGTACAGTACAAGCTCGAGAGAGACAGGAAACAGCAAATAACTGACCTTTACTCACCACGTTACAAGAGATAAGAGAACGAAAAAACAGAAGAGCAACCACAGAAAAATAAAGGCAGGACTTTGGATTCTCAACAACAGAAACACAAGCAGACGGTCATTAATACCACCTTCTACCTTCAGATGTCCTCAAACCGGGACAAGCTCCTAAATAATGTGTTTTAGTTACTGATCAGTCTGGATGACAGACTGACCGGCGGCTGACCTGTGGGTGTGTTGTGTTCTGCCTTGTGTTCAGGTGTGTTTGCTGTGTTTTCCAGGTGCACAAACATCTGGAACTTCCTCAAAGCTCCGGAGGCAAGAGTGCGGTCTCCCCTGTGGAGGTTCTGCGCTATTTCTGCTGCCTGCAGAGAGAAGGGCAGGTGCAACCTAAGAAAACACCACCAGAGGGCAGGAGAGACACGGTGCTGCTGGACACGCAGGCATACAGGTACGCATGTAACCACACGGTCACTGTTACTGGAATTTACCATTAAATTGGCTTGACAAAGCCAACAGTGCTCTTCATAACCTTATTATTATTATTATTATTATCTTCACTACACAAATGGTTCTTCACAGGTTCTTTAGTAACAACAGTGGTTCTGTATAGAACCATGAACACTCAAAGAACCATTTGCATGCTTTAAGGGGTTCTTTGCATCATGAAAGGGTTCTTCAGAGTGATGGAGAATGTCCTGTAATTCGTGCTATCTAGAACCTTTTTGAGTTCTATATAGCACCAAAAGGGTGCTTCTACCGTTATGATGTCAAGCTTGTAACAATAGAAGAACATTTCACCATGCAAAGAACCCTGTAATCAAGCAAAGTGTTCTTTGACTATTCATGGTTCTATGTAGAACCATTTTCTTTAATAAAGAACCCTTGAAGAACCATCTTTTTTAAGTGTGTTGTCATGAAAAAGCCAACTTACCGTTCTTTATTTTCTTCTCAATGTTGTTCAAAAAATTTTCAACGCTTCTCCTCCTGTAGCATTTGAGCTAGAACCACAAAACCTGGCAGGATCGTAGAGCCTATAACCGTATAGGTTGCTTCTGTGTTTTTAACCGATTTACCTTACGGTGTTTATACAGCGTTCATTCAAAAACTAGTTTTTTTTTTCATAGGAATGAATGGGGGAATGCTCAACTTCCTGAAACCACTTATATAACGTCTATATCTCTCCCTCTTATTCCACCACAGTCAGCATAAACTCTGCGGCCAGATGTTTCTAGACACTTCTCTTATGTCACCATCATTCAATTATGCTAGCAACACTTTAGCAACCACCTGGCATACCGACGTAGGAGGAGGACAACTGCTTTAACTTGTTAAAAACATATTTAAAAGTTTGTTTATAACCTTTCCACTTGTAGTTCTGCCGGTTTGTGTAATCAGTCAGTCAAGTTTCTTCTGTAATTTTACACTGGAGCTAGAGGCTGATGTTAGACAGACAGACAGACAGACAGACAGACAGACAGACAGATAGAAAGATAGATAGATAGATAGATAGATAGATAGATAAGTGTGGTACAATATGAAAAGAAGAAAGTACAGACTCAGCAAAATTGTCAACTATAAATAAATCTATCTCGCTTATTACAAAGAAACACTGTTATTACAAGTAACACTGCCTAATGATTTTACCGGTGCAACATGTTCACGTGCTCATTTTTAAATAACAGTATGACGGGGGAACGTTGCTCAAATTAGATATTTTTGACACAATCTGTGATCCCCAGATGCTTTTTGCTTTTAGAGAGCTTCCCCTTTTGTGTCTTGGCTTCTCTCTGTGCCTCTTTATGCTCTTAGGAAGTTTTTATAACACTGTCCCACTCAGTGATGCTCACTGAGCGCCGCACCCACATTTCTGTGAAGCTTCTGTTGTACAAAGCATGAATTTACAATAAAATGTTGCATCTAATATCCTTAAAAACACACTGGCCTCATAAAAACAGAGACTGCTATGAAAGACTATGACTATCTCTACATCCTGTGGTAAAGAATCCACTAACAAAGATTACAACTCTTAGATTAAGAAGCTGAGCTAAGTCCCTGTATCTGGCTCTTTTAGATGGAAGGCAGTGCAGCGCCTGGGAGAGACATACAGCATGTCTCGGATTCGAGAACCACGCGGTGAGTTTAGACAGCACAGCAAAGATTGAATTGAATTCAGAACCATGATCCAACTGTGTTTTGCTCACAGAGGAGTTAGACCTCCGCATTTAACCCATCCATGCAGTGAAACACCCACATACATGTACGCTAGTGAACACACACACTAGGGGCAGTGAGCACACTTCCTCAGAGCGGTGGGCAGCCCTATCCACAGCACCCAGGGAGCAACTGGGGGTTAGGTGCTGTTCTGAATTACTAGCTACATTCAGTTTCAGACAGAATTTTGTGAGCTACAGTCGGTTCAGACAGAATTATGTGAGCTACAGTCGAGTTCAGACAGAATTTTGTGGGCTACAGTCGAGTTCAGACAGAATTTTGTGGGGCTACAGTCGGTTCAGACAGAATTATGTGAGCTACAGTCGAGTTCAGACAGAATTTTGTGGGCTACAGTCGAGTTCAGACAGAATTTTGTGAGCTACAGTCGAGTTCAGACAGAATTTTGTGGGCTACAGTCGAGTTCAGACAGAATTTTGTGGGCTACAGTCGGTTCAGACAGAATTTTGTGGGCTACAGTCGGTTCAGACAGAATTTTGTGGGCTACAGTCGAGTTCAGACAGAATTTTGTGGGCTACAGTCGGTTCAGACAGAATTTTGTGGGCTACAGTCGAGTTCAGACAGAATTTTGTGAGCTACAGTCGAGTTCAGACAGAATTTTGTGGGCTACGGTCGGTTCAGACAGAATTTTGTGGGCTACGGTCGGTTCAGACAGAATTTTGTGGGCTACAGTCGAGTTCAGACAGAATTTTGTGGGCTACAGTCGAGTTCAGACAGAATTTTGTGAGCTACAGTCGAGTTCAGACAGAATTTTGTGGGCTACAGTCGAGTTCAGACAGAATTTTGTGGGCTACAGTCGAGTTCAGACAGAATTTTGTGGGCTACAGTCGACTTCAGACAGAATTTTGTGGGCTACAGTCGAGTTCAGACAGAATTTTGTGGGCTACAGTCGAGTTTGGTTCAAAACTGAATGGTTTAATTCATCTTTAATGGTGTTACTACCTCAGATCTTACTCAAGTCTTTATTGCCCTCCTCAGAGCTTTGGTTGCCACCCCTTCCTTCCAGGCCGCTGCTGATGGGCTTCACTCGGCTGTTGTCTCTTCCACTTGCTCGTATCTCTCTCTCTCCGTTCCCTCTCTCTCTGGACTCACACTGCTTGAAGGAACCTTCACCACGACGCTACTTCCTGCTGGAGCGATCCTACGTCCAGTACTACAGATAGTCACTCCTTCTAAACTAGACAACCGAGGAAGAAACTCAAGGGACTGTCAGGAATCTGTATCTCTTTCCTCAGAACTACACTGGAGTATCCTAACTAATCTTTAATAAAATAATACACTCAGATATTTCTAAACATTCAACGGCTTTCAGTTTTCTAACCCAAAGTCAATCTTCACTGATCAAAATCTGCTGGAAATTATAGTTTTCTCTGCTTAAACACTGAACCACCAATACTTCTGAGTAAAATCTACTTAAAAACTGGTCTAATAATAGTAGTAATATGTTGTACTTACATGTTGTTTTAATGAAATGGAAGGTGAGTGACAGCATACAGGGTTCAGCTGCCTATACGTCATTAGTTTTTGCTAAAAGCATTTAGGATCCACGTCATAGAAAAACAAATGTATTATCAAAAGAGTTTACTACAGCATTTAAACCCAAATGAGAACAGGAAAAATAAAGATCGTCTCTGTCCACAGAAAAACAAGTATCTCCAAAATAGTAACTTTCCGGGAGAAGGCAGAAACACTCCTACCTTTCAATGTAGGTTAATGTGAAGAGATTTTATTCCAAGTGATTTTCGAGCATTTCTATTGGTCCATTCATCACATAACGTAAAGGACAGCTTGTGTGTTTAAATGAAGTAGAAAACTGAAAATCGACAAAAATGGAGATGCATGTTTTTTGTTGGACAGCGACTAAACATGTTAAAAGTAACCAAAATACACTGTTTAATTCTAAGGGATAAGCAGAGTTTGGAAATGGTCATTTAAACATGATTTCTGACTGATTTTTGTAAATAAAAACAAGGTAGATCTTAGGGAACAAATCAAGATACAAGAGCGATGAAGGAACGATGAAGGCCCATTTTTGTTACTTCAATATGACATTATCCAAAACAATGTAGCTCTGCAACACAATGACATCATTTTAACACCTTAAACATTTTTACTTCAAAATTTCAACACATTAAAATATTTACAGGGTACAGCTTTCAGGTTCAACCTAAATAAACACCCCAGTGACAAAAGACAATCACACATTTTCTGATATGAAACACTTTGGTTTGTGTTTATTGGAAAGCATGGATACAGAGGACATGTTCGATATTTTAGCACCCATTGGCTGAGATGTGCTACATTTACAGCAGGCAGGTGATTGTACAGCAGTATAAACTGCACACAGGTACATTTTATTAATGCTTTGGCAACATGTGCACATATATAACAGACATGAGGTGAAATCAGCCAGAACAACCTGAGTCACAGTTTTCTGATTTAATGCACCTGGATGAATTCATCAGCTTTTTATCGGCTGAATAAACCCCTTTAACTCTAATTCTGTCATCCCAAGTTCTCTAAAAACTTTTGTATGAACTACTGTGAGTTATTTAGTAAATGAGTCATTCTATGGAAACGTCCATTTTTGTGTCCCTAGTGTTTACAGATACATTAGACTTGAAAAAAAATGTTAAAAATTATTTATATTTTAAAATAAAACTAACTGTTATTTTAACTATTACACCTTCTTGAGCCTCAATTTAGCAATATTGGTTTTTAAATCAATCATATAGAATTCCAAGCACCACAGAAGAGCTCGTCCTCACAGTCATGTGTGAAGGCTGAGGCCATATTTTAAAAAACATGTTTTTCTGCAATTTTAACTGCAATAATCTAAACATGACTATGAAATATATGAATTAAATGACAAAGAAAACAAATGTCAAATAAATAATATAAAATATATAATGAAAGTTGTTGTCCCCAGGAGTCGTGTCACTGGTGTTACTGCGTAACAAAAAAATCTCTTATTTTGAAATAAAAATCACACTGATGACATCACTTGACTTCCTTTTGCCTATTTTCTGAGGATCTATGAAGAAAAGCTCATGGTGAGTCCACTGACTCTTTCAGTTATCAGAGATTTTCTCATTTAGCTCATGATTTCATATGAAGCTTTCAGCTGAAGTCACTGGTGTGACCGACTTTATTCTGAGGTAAGTGTGGAAAAAACAGAATACAAATGGATTAAATTACGTATTTTAGTGGATATTCCATGATTGACAACATGTGGTTTGATTTTTAATTAAAAATATCACTGGTGTTACCTTTCTTATGTGCAACACCAATGAAGATCAGTAACACCAATGACTTGTTCGGATAGATAAAAAGTGGACGTTTCTGTAGAATGACCCAAATACGTAGTTATGAGAGTGATGAGAAACGCAGGCCTAAATAGGGGCCCTTCAGAAGTAAGGGGTTAAATTATATGGTGCAGTAAAGAAGAAAAACACTTCGTAGGTAAAATATGACTCTTTGGTTTAAGTCGTCCAGCTAAGCAAGTCAGTCTTGCTTTGTAACCCATGTTCTGCCTCCTCTGTAGTCTAAACAGACACTGCTGATTGTGTAAAGTATAAAACACCTCATCACATTCAGACTGTATACATTATAAACCGAAAGCTTACTGCAAAAAAATTATATATATATATATATATATATATATATATATATATATATATATATATATATACACACACACATATACATGTGTTGTTTGCCTGGACTGCCCAATGTGCTTCATATTAGCTGCATGGGTTGAATTTGGGAGTCTGTTATTTTTCATAGGTTAACTGTGATGATGCATGTAAATGTATTCGCAGAGAAGGGGTTTATGGGTAAGCGTAGTTTGCAGAGGGTCACAGAGGCCACAATATGCAAAGTTCTCACCATGCTAAATAGCGCTAAATCAGAATGGAGCAGTTTGAGGCTCGGCTGCCAGAAGAGGAACAACACCAAAAACTACAAATCATTGGTAAGGAACACAATATATGGTTTTACATTCATTTTTACAGCATGAAACGAGATGTTGGCACTGATTGTTATGAAACTATATGATCTACTTTGCTCCTGTGTGAACGTCTGCAATCTCAACCAATGTCAGCTGATCAGTTTGGTAAATTCATATCATCTCAAAGATTGTCGCGTCGTCTTCAGCTCATTTTTACACTCTGTTTCAGACTCGGAGCATGAAAAGGTGAAGATTCATACAGCTGACAGATCTACACTGAGTACAGTCTGAACTCTGTAGCTTTATGTTGTATGTTTGTTGTATTTGCAAACAATTCCTCCACATGACTCTTAGGAATCCCAGCTGGCGACATCCCTTCTTAATAAGAACAGTGCATCGCCAGAACTTACTAAGGCGCATGTGTCGGGCTCGAGTCCTCGCAGGCCAAAACACTGCAGACTTCAGCCTCATTAAACACACCTGATTCAGCTCATCAGCCAATCAGCAAAGCCTTCATTCACTGAATTCAGAGCGCTGGATGAGGGTAAACGCCGATCTCCACAGTATTTTGGCCTGGAAGGTCTCCAGTTTGACATGTCTGTACTGAGGTGTAGCCATGACTAAGTAAGATGTGGGAACAAGATAAATCATAGCCATGACTTGGTAAGGCATAGGAACAAGATAATTAAGTCATAGCCAGAACTTAGTAAGGCATAGGAACGAGATAATTAAGCCCTAGCTGGGACTTAGTAATGTGTGGGAATAAGATAATTAAGCTGTAGCCGCAACTTAGCAAGGTGTGGGAATGAGATAATTTAGTTGTTCACATTAATTACGAGACTTAAGTATCTCATTATTATAACTTTGTAATGTGTGGGAATGAGATAATTAAGTCATGGCCAGGACTTAGTAATGTGCAGGAATGAGATAATGAAGTCGTAGACAGAACTTAGTAATATGTGGGAATGAGATAATTAAGTCGTTGACATTAACTATGACAATTATCTCATTATTAACTTAATTATTTAGTAATGTGTGGGAATGTGATAAAGTTGTAGACAGAACTTAGTAATGTGTGAGAATGAGAATTAAGTCCTAGCCAAAACTTAATATATATATATATATGTGGGAACAAGATAATTAAGTCATAGACATTACTTATGAGACTTAATTATCTCATTATTAACTTATTGAGATAATTAAGTCATAGACAGGACTTAGTAATGTGTGGGAATGAGATAATTCAGTCATAGACAGAACTTAGTAATGTGTGGTAATGAGATAATTAAGCTGTAACCAGAACTTGGTAATGTGTGGGAATGAGATAATTACGCCATAGACAGAACTTAATGTGTGAGAATGAGATAATTAAGTCTCATAATTAATGTCTACGACTTAATGAGATAATTAAGTCATAGACATTATGACACTTGATTATTTCATTATTAATGAGATATTAAGTTATGAACAACTTAGTAATGTGTAGGAACGAGGTAATTAAGTCAGACAGAGCTTAGTAATGTGTGGGAATGAGATAAATAAATTGTGGACATAACTTATTAAGGCACAGAATCTAGATAATTAAGTCATTCAGTAAGTCGTGGCCACTCGTTATCTTTAAAAGGTAGGGAGGTCACCAGCAGGGCTTACACAGAAAATACATCATATACAGAACACATCACTGGGACTGGAGTTCTAGTATATAAACAGTCAGTAATCTCTGTTAGTCACAGTGCTGACGATGTACAGACGCACTGCTGACTCCAGGATCAGTCCACAGTGCTGAAACCTCTGAGCTGCTCCATAATACATTCCTTTAACTCAACACCTGAGAACACACGCCGCTCAGCCACTGCGGAGGAGCAGCGAAGGCCACAAACGTCTGACAGGAGCAGGTGTAAAACTGGGACGTGTCAACAGCAAATCAAACGGCAGCTCCTACATACGGCAGCGTAGCTGGACACCTAATTACTGGTGGGAACTGCACTGAATCTCCATCTGACAAGTTACGAATGAAGGAAAAAGCGCTGAGTTTGACCCCAGCTATTAAAAGAAAGTGCGGTGTGTTTTTCTTGGAGCTGAAGGTGGATAAACAGCTACACTGAAAGCTTCATTTTTCAAGTCTGTCAAGCACCTCCTGTGTGGAACCTGAGAGACGGTTAAAGCGACAGTTTTAACATTTTCCCTCTTATCCTAAACGGAGCTGATCAGCCGAGACGTGTTTGGTGTCTGAAGTTTGCTTCTTTAGTTTTTCCACTGGGATATAAGCCTCCACTGCAGCTAACAAGCTAACTGTATGTGTGATGACTCAAGCATACAGTTAGCACCATGCTAATGTAGCTTACAAGTAATGGAAGCTTATATTCCACCGATTAGCATGGTGCTAACTGTATGTGTGATGACTCAGGTATATAGTTAGCACCATGCTAATGTAGCTTACAAGTAATGGAAGCTTATATTCCACCGATTAGCATGGTGCTAACTGTAATTAAGCGTAATTTTGTCCATGTTTATAGTGAACGGTGTGTCTTACAGTGTATGAATCCACATAACTGAGTCAATTAGAGATACTGAACAGCTCCACACTGAGGTGAGTGAGTGATGATGTAAACAAGCAGTTAGCATGACGCTGTTTTGGTATAAGCTTCCATTACTTGTTAGCGACATTAGCCTCGTGCAAGACTACAGAAGGAACCTACAGCCACCAAGCATGTCTGGACTGATCAGCTACATTCAGAGTTAGAGGAACTGTGGAGCAGCGCATTAACAGAACGGAGGAGCACTTATTGCTCAGAACCCAGTAATAAAGACAGCAAATCCACCAGCACCATGTGGCTCATTCCCACTCTTGGACTGCATGGTTTCATGTTTTCTCTGTTCTAACACACTGAATCAGGAGTTCCCGACACTCACAAAGGTTCTCCGAGTATGAAAGCCGATCTAGGATCAGTTTCCTCTCTTATTTACGATAACTTTACTGACACGAACAGATCCTAGACCAGCACACCTACCCCGAGCAGCCATCTGAGTGTGGGCCCTGGTCCTGTTCTTCTTGAAAGATGGTTCTTCAAGAGTTCTTTAGTAAAGAAAACGGTTCTATATAGAATCATAAGAACCATTCGCAAGATTAAAGCGTTCTTTGCATCATGAAATGGTTCTTCAGATTGATGGAAAATGTGCACGAATACGCTGTAGATAGTTCTATATAGAACCTTTTGGAAAAGGGTTCTATATAGCACCCAAAAGCATTCTTTTATTGTTACAAGCTTGACATTGTAACAATAGAAGAACCCTTTTGGGTGCCATATAAAACCATCTACAGCACATTCTCCATCAGTCTGAAGAACCATTTCATGGTGCAAAGAACCCTTTAATCCAGCAAACGGTTCTTGGCATGTTCATGGTTCTATATAGAACCATTTTCCTTACTAAAGAACCCTTGAGGAACCATCTTTTTTAAGAGTGTATATTCAACATATTTATGCACACAATTATGGCCAATGCTATGTTGTGATAAGGACTATATCGCTGTTATCAGAACAAAACCTCATTTTTCAGTTTTTGACATGATTTGAAAATGCCTGTTGCCCTTTACATTGTGTGTAAATTTTATGATGAATGGACCGAAAGAAACGGCCCAAAATGACTTGGAAAAAAAGTCTGGTTCCATTGACTTACATTAAAAGTAAAGTACGTTTTTTGCTTCTCCTGTAAAGTTACCATTTTGGAGATACAAGGTTTTCTTCCGACAACGGCGATATGTTGATTAGGAGTGCGTATGTAAGTAGTTACTGGCTATTTGGCACAATGAGTCATGTATAACTATGCTGTATTGTATAATTATGCTATATTGCTATATATATGCTATATTGGCGCCAGTGCTCTTTCCTGCCTCATGTTATTCACCTCATAAAACTGCAACGCAAATCTGCCAAAATAAAAACAATAAATTTCCCGATTACTGAAAATATGAGCTGATTCCAATCTTAGCCGATCGTGCATCCCTAGTGTTTATTATATGTTTTAATAATGTGGAAATGACGTATGCAAGTGAATTTGATGCATTCATTTTTTCAGTGCACCTACATACAGGGGAAGTCCACTGATTTTTTTTTAATTTCTGCATAATTCTCATTGAGATGTAAACAGTGATTCAGAGTGGTTTGGTGTGAAATGGTTCAGATGTCTTTACAGTGGTGGTGATAGGAACCAGGGGTCCCCATGACTACAACACAAATATAGACATTTTATTTACTATTCACAACCACCAGTGAACCTACACGAGTCTTCTGAGTTTCATATGGAATATTGATGATGGGAAAATAATGTTAAATCTGAAAAATTAGTTTTCTTTGGAGACTATTTTGCCTCACAACGCCCTGCAAGTACCCTTCCACGGTTAATAGCATTTAAAAACACGTTTCAGGCCCAAAACCCCCCCAAACCTTTTATAAATCAGTGTTTTAGAAACATATTCATAATAATTTCATGTAATAGCATTCTGTGAGGGAGCTATTAGAGGTGGACGTCTGGTTCCTATCACCACCACTGTGAACAGTTCTGACTCGATAAGGTTCTCTAGAACAGAGCGTTTCACACCAAACCACTCAGAATGACTTTGTTTACATCTTAACCACTGAATTATGCAGAAATGCTCTGGAAGGGCTTGTTAATAATTCATCATGTATGTTAGAGCAGGATAAACAATATGCAGGCCAGAGTTGACACTCATCGATTTAGAGCAGGAAATAGACACATAATGAAGACGTGCTCCATTTTCAGACTCTAGTCTTCCCCTGCCAGGTCAGTGCTATATTTAAGTAAGTCTGAGGTCAACAGGAGGTCATGCTGGCGGCCTTTGGCCGTCAGAACCTCCTCCAGCTGCGTCAGCGTCAGCTCCCTGACCTCTGACTTTTCCAGCAGTGGCCAGTCCAGAAGCTGGGCGCTGGAGGGCAGCGGAGGCAGGCCAGGCTCATAGTCCTCCAGCGGGTAGGGGTACAGGAGCAACCGCAGCGAGGGGATCCCTGCAGCCATCCACGCTAAAGACACTAGGCCATTCCGGGTCAGGGGGTTCAGGGCCAGCCTGAGGGTCCGGAGGGTCCTGCAGCATGACAGAGAGGGCAGTAGCGCCCCCAGCAGGACGTCTGAGAGACCGCAGCCACACAGAGAGAGCTGAGCCAGGCAGGATTCAGCCTGAGAAAAGAGCCGTCGCAGTGATGGGACGGACGAGTCGTCCAGCCTGTTCTCACTCAGGTCCAGCTCTCTGAGGGACGAGGCATGAGGGCTGCAGGAGAGGTAGGACAGGTCCGCCGGAGTCAGGCTGAGATACGGCAGCTCCAGCACCTCTAGAGGCTGAGAGAGGGAACTGCAGAGAGAGACAGAGAGAGATAAGATAGAATAAAGATTGAGCAAAAGAACAAGACAGAAGAAAGAAAGAAAGACGGGGAAAGAGAAGGAGAGAGAAAATAAACGAGAGATAGGAGAGAGAAGAGAGACAAAAATACTCAAACATCGAAATTATTTGGATACTCAGAACCAAAATTATTTAGAAAGCACACTGCTTGTGAGTAACGGCCAAAGATGGACAATATTGTGGAGACTGGGATAACTGGGATAGGGACTTCCTATGGTCATTAATTGCGAGCGAGGAATCGAACATTATTCCAAGATATTGGGGACCCAGTGTCTCACTGCAATATGTGTCAATAGTGTAGCTGGACAATGCAGAAACCAGAGATTTGGAACCTACCAATAAAAATTTTCTGTATATATTTTATAAAATTTGTTATTCATTTACAGTTTCAATTCACGGATGGATACATGATACCAGAGCCTGGTGGGGGGAGGAGGTGTTCGTGCTGAGACATGTCTGGACATCATCAGTATAGCAATGGAAACTGAAACTGTGGTTGCGGATAAATTGTCAGAGGAGTAACACATAATCTTTAAAAAGAAGGGGGCCAAGAACGGACCCCTGAGGAACCCCTTGGGTAACAGGTGCTTCAGACGATCTCTGTTTACCAATAGTGATAAATTGCTGTCTGTCTGCAAAGTATTAACTGAACCAGTCAATGGCTATTCCTGAAATGCCGAGAGAGGAGAGACTGAAGAGACATACATCATACATCCAGCTTCACTGAGGAATCCTGTTTTGTGAAAGATCCCCTGGATCTCAAATACACTCTCCTACACTGACTTTTCTGGATCCCACACCCGTCCCGTATTTGTGTATTTGTGTCTGTACCTGAGCAGCAGTCGCAGATGTCCGGGCAGCCTCAGTGCGGTCAGGCTGAGCCTGCGGAGCCTCTTCAAAGCGCTGAGCCCACGACACATGTCCTGCAGCGCCCCCTGCTGCCCCGGCTGAGTGCGCTGCAGGTCCAGGTTGCAGTAGTGCAGTCTGAGTGAGTGGAGCAGTGGAAACGGCTCTAACAGAGGCAGCAGCAGTGCCAGGCCAGACACGCCCAGGCTGGAGTAGCGGATATCCAGCCCCAGGAGACCATCTTTGGGAAGTAGCTCCAGAAGAGAGGCCACTGAAGGTGCCGGAAGCTCCTCGACCCGCAAATATCGGCAGTAAAGCCTCATCGGGCCAGGCAGGCTCAGCGCTCCTCGGACCCTCTCCCACGAGCGGGCGTTTATGAACAGATCGGCTCGAACGCGTACCACCACTGTCTGGTCCCAGTCTGGGCTGGAGGAGCCGGAGCTGGAGACGTTCTGCTGGGGGTCATTTCTCCTCTGAAGCTCCATCCTCCTCCTCACACTACGCACCGTCTCCTCCTCTGAGAACACTCTCGTCTGAATTATACTCTGAAAGACCAACATTTATTTTTTTTATTACTGTTATTGTGTTGTTATAATAATAATGTAATCATAATGTAATTATAATTTTGCGTTGTTCATTTCATGCTTGTTTCTTGTATATTTGCAATGTTTGCCACTTTGTCTTATTCTAATCCTTAACTTTTGATAACCCAGTAAATATAAGACTCTATTAGGGATGTAAAATACTTATGAATATTTAGCCAAACTGTCACCTGCATCAATCTTAGAGTTGATTACAATAATTTTCAATAAAGTATCATATTAATTGCTTCTTAATACAGTACCATGCGAAAGTCAGAGGCCACCCTTTTTTTCAGTAGACTCGCTTTCATTTTTTTCAAATAAATATACAATGATTTTTTTCCACACCTCCAAAGTTCAGTCTTAGAAGTTGGTTTAGCATTTTCTGCTTCTCACCATCCAAATAATCCCGATTACTCATCGATGCCTCTGTAGCTTTTAATCAGTTTTTGAATTATTTTCCACGTATTTTAACTTTTTTTGCCGTTTTGAATGAAAATGAAATCAACGTGGTCTCTGACTTTTTCACAGTATGTGGGGTTTTACTGGCAAATGGCTTCTTGAAGTTAAAGAACGTTCCACGGTTGTTTGTGTTGCTTTTGTGCTGCCATCATTAGTTTCAGTCCTGTTCCAGGTGGTTGTTCCAGGTCATTTCTTTTCCACTTATTTTCCTTTAACTTTCTCCTTCATTAAGCAAGTGGATTATCGTTTATCTCAATATCAGAAATATCTCTTCAAAAATTAAATAAATGAAGGGTGGCCTCTGACTTTTGCACAGTACTGTATGTACATTTATTTACTGTATTTACACAATTTTATAGCTGACAGTATTTGACTTAACATATTCTGATTAGGTTAAAATGTTATTCTGATGGTGAAAAAACTGCCCCTTAAAAATAAATGATTTCTAACTTTGACCACTGTGTAAATCATTCCTCCAGTCACATTTGTGTATTCTGTATAGATAAAAAAACGTTTAAACCTCACCAAAGCTGAATCGGATTGTGGTGAAATTTGAGATGATGCACTGATTGATTGTCTAAAGAACTGTAATCAAATTGAACAAGACATATAATAATGATCATAACAATAGTAATAATAAAAAAATAGTAATAAGAGTAACGGTGGTGGTAAATCCCTTTGCTCTCGCACCTCCTCTCCTCTGTTGTCCCTGCAGTCCACCTTCTCTCCCTCTTCTCCCTCCATCCCCCTTTTCCTGCTCTCCAGTCCTCGGTCTCGTTTGACCATGCCGTCTCTCTCTCTCTCCGTGTGCAGTCCTCTCTTCCTCTCTCGCTCTCCGTCTCGGCGATGCCCCCTGGAGGCGGCGGCTCGCGCCTGCAGCAGGGTGGAGCACAGAGCCACAGTCAGAGACCATCCACCCATCGAGTCCTCCAGCCGGCCCTCATCACACTGCAGACCACACAGATCCAACACCTGCAGAGCACACCTGAGACAGACAGAGAGAGAGAGAGAGAGAGAGAGAGAGAGAGAGAGAGAGAGAGAGAGAGAGAGAGAGAGAGAAAGAAAGAAAGAAAGAAAGAAAGAAAGAAAGAAAGAAAGAAGGAAAGAAAGTAGTTGGTGTGAGCTGTGCCATATTTACCATACTGTTTTCCAACTGGTGGATATTTAGCCATACTTTTCTCCAGTTGGTACAACCCCATTTCCCAAAAAGTTGGGACGCTGTGCAGAATGTAAATAAAAATAGAATGCACTGATGTGCAAATCATGTAAATCAAAAGCAAAATAGTACAAAGACAACATACAAAATTTTGAAACTGAGAAATTTTATAGTTTTTTGAAAAATATTTGCCCATTTTGAATTTGATGCCAACAACACATTCCAAAAAAAGTTGGGACGGGGGGCCTGTTTACCCGCGTTTCATCACCTCTTCATTTACCAACACTCTGTAAGCATATGGAAACTGAGGAGACACTGCTGTAGTTTTGAAAGCGAAATGTTTTCCTGTTCTTGCTTGATATGGGATTTCAGCTGCTCAACAGTTCGGGGTCTCCTTTGTCGTGTTTTTCATTTCATAATGCACCAAATGTTAGCAGTGGGTGACAGATCTGGACTGCAGGGAGGTCAGTTTAGTGCCTGGACTCTTTTAATATGGAGCAATGCTGTTGTGATACGTGCAGAATGTGGTTTGACACTGTCTTACTGAAATAATCAAGGCCTTCCCTGAAAAAGACGTCGTCTGGATGGCAGCATATGTTGCCAAAACATGTATATGTTGTTCAGCATTAATGGTGCTTTGACAGATGTGCACATCACCCATGCCGTGTGCACTAATGCACCTCTGTACGATCATGAATAATGGCTTTTGACCTGTGCACTGATAACAGGCTGAGTGGTCTTTAGCCTGGAGCACACAGTGTCCATGATTTCCAAAAAGAATTTCAAATGTTGATTTGTTGAACCACAGGACACTTTTCCACTTCACCTCAGTCCATTTTAAATGAGCTCGGGCCCAGAGAAGGTGGCAGTGTTTCTGGATCCTGTTTATGTACAGTTTCTTCTTTGCATTTTAGACTTTTAACTTGCATTTGTGGATGCAGCGACGAACTGTTTTCACAGACAGTGTTTTTCAGAAGTGTTTCTGAGCCCATGCAGTGATTTCCACTACAGAATCATGTCTGTTTTTAATGCAGTGCTGCCTGAGGGCCCAAAGCCTTGTCCCTTACATACAGAGATTTCTCCAGATTCTCTGAATCTTTTAAAGATATTATGTACTGTAGATGATGAAAAGCAGAAGTTCTTTGCTGTTTTACGTTGATAAACGTTATTCTTGAACTGCTGCACTATTTGATCATGCAGTCTTTCACAGAGTGGTGAACCCCTCCTCATCTTTACTTCTGAAAGACTCCGCCTCTCTGAGATGCTTTTTATTCCCATATCATTAACCAGCAGGTGTTTTTTTTTTGTTTTGTTTTTTTTAGAATTACACAACTTTACCAGCCCTTTTGTTGCCCCCGTCCCAACTATTTTGGAACATGTTGTTGGCATCAAATTCAAAATGGGCAAATATTTTTTCAAAAAACAATAAAATTTCTAAGTTACAACATTTGATTTGTAGTCTTTGTACTATTTTCAATTAAATATAGGGTTTAAATTATTTGCACATCATTGCATTTTGTTTTTATGTACATTTTGCGCAGTGTCCCAGTCTTTTTGGAAATGGGGTTGTAGATATTTAACCATGATGTTCTCCAATTAGTGGATATTTAGCCATACGATTCTGTAATTGGTAAATATTTAGCTGTGCAGGAGGAGCACACGAGTACACAAAAAACACAAGTGTGGATTTTCAAAAAGAGGCCAGATATTAGTGCAAAATCTCTGAAACTAACATAGGTTTTCTTCAGCCGCTTTTCCACACCATTGTACCGGCTCAACTTGACTCAACTCTATTCGCAACATCTCCTCTGGAACTACACCTGAAACACGTTACAATCAAACTGGTAGATATTTGACTAAAACATAAATGTACGTAGCTCCGTACCTTTTGTCCGTCAAACCCCTGACCGCCGCCAGGAGCAGAGCCTGGATGCACAGGCGATTCGGAGGGATCTGGCCGTGCTTTCTCTGCCCGCCTACGCTCAGCGTCCGCTCAGGCCAGCGCTGGACCAGCTCACCTACAGCCAGGGGGCGGCAGTGAGCAAAAGCTGCCTCCAGAAGGGGGCGGTAGAGCTCCCGGGGCAAACAGCTCAGCCAAGAGGGTGAAGAACTGTGATCACTCACAACCTCCCGGGCACACAGGCTGACCAGGGACAGAACCATGTCTGCTGTTTCAGTGAAAGAAACTAAATTAGATGCCTGAGAAAAAAGAAGCATATAGAATTCATAACTCACTTCTACTTAAATATATTTGTGGGGAAAGAAGTCAATTTTTCACTCTGTCGAATTTCTGTCATTAACATTCAGCTCCTGACTCCTGTGATATCTGCTGGATTCACTTCCAATGCAATTATATAAGTAATTTTTCAAAATGTCTGCATAATTGTGGTTTGATGTGAAATGCTTTATTACAGAGAAATGTATCGAGTCTGATGTCTTTACAGTGGTGGTGATAGGAACCAGGGGTCACCATGACTACAACACAGATATAACCATTTTATTTACTATCCAAAACCACCAGTGAACCTACAGGAGTCTTCTGAGTTTTATATGGAATGTTGATGATGGTAAAATAGTGGTAAATCTGAAAAAATACGATTTTTTGGGACTGTTTTGCCTCACAACACCCTTCCCAACCTTATGTAAAAAAATATTTTAGGCCAAAATCTACCTTCAAACAGTGTCTCAGACATCAGGCAGTGAATTCATAACCATTTCATGTAGTAACTTTATGTGAGGGAGCCTTTAGAGGTGGACGTCTGGTTCCTATCACCACCACTGTGAACAATTCTGACTCTAGAACGGAGCGTTTCACACCAGATCACTCTGAATGACTGTTTACATCTTAAAGAATGAATTCCACACTTTTAAAAAGGATGGTTCTTCAAAGGTTCTTTAGTAAAGGGAATAGTTCTGTTTAATTTCTACATAGAGCCATTTTATGCATAAACGGCTCTTTGCGTGGTGAAACAGTTCTTCAGATTGATGGAGAATGCGCTGTACATGGTTCTATACAGAACCTTTTTGAAAATGGTTCTACGTAGCACCAAAAAGCGTTCTGTTGTTCCAATGTCAAGCTTGTAACAATTTAAGAACCACTTTCTGATGCTATACAGAACCATATTCAACACATTCTCCATCCATCTGAAGAACCATTTCACTATACAAAGAACCATTTAAGCCTGCAAATGATTCTATATGGGGGTCGTTCTACAGAAGCTTTTCTACCTCTCCATAGAAGCCACTGGTGTTACCGATCGCCATTGGTGTTACCGATCGTCATTGGTGTTACACATGACAAAGGTAACACCAGAGACACTTTAATTAAAAATCAAACCACATGTTGTCAATCATGGAATATCCACTAAAATACGTAATTTTATCCATTTGTATTCTATTTTTTCCACACTTACCTCAGAATAAAGTCGGTCACACCAGTGACTTCAGCTAAACGCTTCATATGAAATCATGAGCTAAATGAGAAAATCTCTGATAACTGAAAGACACAGCGGACTCACCATGTGCTTTTCTTCACAGACCCTCAGAAAACAGGTAAAAAAGTCAAGTGATGTCATCAGTGTGACTTTTATTTCAAAATAAGAGATTTTTTTGTTACGCAGTGACACGACTCCTGGGGAACTTTGAGTATTTTATAATATTTATTTATCATTTATTTTCTTCGTGCCATTTAAATCATATATTTCATAGTCATGTATAGATTATTGCAGTTAAAATTGCAGAAAAACAAGTTTTTACCTCAAAATATGGCCTCAGCCTTCACACATGACTGTGAGGACGAGCTCTTCCGTGGTGCTTGGAATTCTAGATAATTGATTTAAAAACCAGTATTGCTAAATTGAGGCTCAAGAAGGTGAAATCGTTAAAATAACTTTTATTTTATTTTAAAATATAAATAAATTGTAACCCTAACATGTTTAAGTGTAATATATCTCCCTATCTAAACCCTAGGGACACAAAAAAATGGACGTTTCTGTAGAATGACCCACAGATCTCTAAACGGTTCTAAACAGAACTGTTAAAGAACCCCTGAAGAACCATCTTTTAAAGATTGCACTTTAAGTAGCTTTCGGAGCTGCTAACGTTACTTTTGTACTTCTAGTCAAGTTGCAGTAACAACACTCACCTCTGTGCTCAGCGCAGTGGGAACTGTCGAACCGTCCTGCAGGATCTTCTGGATGATCTTCTCCCACTTGGTGAGCTTGTTGAAGCAAAGCAACACTCTAACTGGAGTTATATATAAATATTCAGACATATATCTCCATCATATTACACTGTAACGCCATCCAGCCGCAGTCTAAGCATCATTTTTCCCCTCACTCTGACTGTGAGTAACCTGAAGCCTCCCAGGCGCGATGATTATCTAATAAAACTAAAAAAAGGTTTTTAATAAGCTCTGAACGCCGCAGCGCCGCTCCGCCACTCCAACGGCTGAACCGCAGCAGACTAGCAGAGTTTAGGACCAGAAACCAGAAAAGCACCTCAGTCCCAGACCCGTCAGCCTGTCCGCCACTGCAGCTACACCTAAACAGCCACAGCTTCATGTAAAAACAGAAAACCTTCCCGGAATACGGCGCGTTTCACCCGGACTGACACCGCAGCTGCGGCGGCTGTTTTGTTTTGCTGCCGCTCCGCTGCCTGCTGATGACGTCGATAAGACGAGACGCGTGAACGCTCCAATCTGCGCACTTGCGCCCTAGCTAGGGCGCCTACCTAGTGCGAGTGGAGCCATTTCGTCGCCCACTGACTGCGCCCGTGCGTTATTATTAAGTGCTTGTTTTTAACAGGCGTGTCGTTTAGTAGAACATTTTTTTTATGCGCATAAAGCTGATAAAGTCTGAGTTGTGTGAAGTGTGCTCGAGTTCATTCGGGACACACCCGAGCTGGAGCTTTTCTCGGACTCGACTTCTAACTTCATTCATCTGACCCCGTCTGTCGGCACCCTTGCCCCCGCCACATACCTTCACGTGCACGCACGTACGTACACAGCAGCGCGCGCAGGCATCCAGCACGTATATGCGTTCAGCTGCTGTACACATTGTCCACTTGACTTCAAGCAGTCTGCACAGTGTTTCATTGATCAGTATGGAAGTCCAGAGAGGTAGTGATAATCTTCTGGATTGTTATCTCGAGATTATGGTTTAATGTCTTTTGTGATCTCAAGACAACAAAAGTTGTTTTCAATGGAGCCCTGCTGGTGATATCCTATGTAAATAAAAAATAATGCATGGGCATGCCTTATTAATGCGACGGAACGAGATCATAATGCGTGGCCACGACTTAGTGAGGCGTGGGAAAATACTCCCACGTCTTACTAAGTCGTGACCACACATTATTTTTATTTCTACAGGATGTCACAAGCAGGGCTCCGTAGTTTTCTCAAGATTGCAACTTATTTTTCTTGTGATCATCCAGATTATCAAGTTATCTTGAGAAAACAATGGCTGTTATTTTGAGTTCACAAAACAATTAAGTTGTGATCTTGAGAAAACAACATTTGTCATTGGACAACAAATTATTCGCCAGCAAATTAGAAAGAGTTAAACAAACAGATGCAGCAAGTCAGCGTGGGAGAGTTTTCCCTTTACTTCCTTTAAATGTTGAGGTTTTGTGTGTAAAATTATTAAATTAAGTACTTTTACAGAAAGAAGAGTCAGTATCGATCCAGCATTGATGGCTTCAAACAGCTGAAAAACATCGCCAAGCTAGTTTGTGTTTAACGTGAGACAAAATATTCACTGTAGAGTCTAAATCTGGACTCTGACCAGCACAAAACCACCAGTAAAAACACTAGGAAAAAAATGCGTTTTAGGCTTGACTTATTTGATTTGCATGGGAGTGTAAATAAGTACTGACTTATAAAAGATGGTTCTTCAAGGGTTCTTTAGTAAAGAAGATGGTTATTTAGAACTGTGACCCTTATACAGGGTGTCCCAAAAAAACTGGCCTCATTTGAGATGTGAGTATCTGAGTAACTACATGTCCAGACAAACGAATTAAACAGGCTTCATGTTGAACAAAACAAGATTTATTTATCAAAATTCGAGCAGAAATTCAGAGGGATGTAGATTTAATAACCGATTTCACAGCTTCACAAATGTAATGTCTCCCGATACTGGTGGTCGTCCAGACCCCTTTGCGCTGCACAGACAGCCTTCCTCTTTGAATGTTTTGTGCTGTGTCCAAATCTGCTTTCCAGTTGGTGCATTTGTATTGAATTTTCTCGAAAATGCGCGCTGGACACTCTTGTTTGACCGTGTTTGAGCATATTCTAACACACAAACTGCCTTTTCGTTTCTAGTGAACATCATTCTTCAACCTGAAAAAAATAAAAATTAAACTTGGTTAGTTTTTACACATTTTGTTAAAATTTGAGATCATTTGAGGGAGAAGTGGCTGCGTTATTAGACTAAGAAATGTCATTTTTTTTGGGACACCGTGTATATACATTTTAAAAATTAAAATATCTGAAATTCTGATTATAATTGCGATGTTAGAGGCACAGAGGCTGGACGCCCATGAGAGTTGCTTTTATTACAAAATCAAAACTTAAAGTCCACAAACAAAAAACAGAATAATAAAGGTTCACAAAAGAAACAAATCAATGAAGTAACAAAAACAGAAACCAGGGAGAAAATGCAAGACAAAGACTAAACCAAACAAGGGGGTTTAAACTCACAGAGGGAAAACAAGGAACACCTGGGAAGAACGAGAGGGCGGAGCTACAGACTACAGACAGATGAACACAATTACAAGGGGGCAGGACCAGAGAGGAGACTGAACCAAAATAACAACAAAAGCACACAGAAAAATGTAAACAAAGAGCACATGGCTTAAACACTGAAGACAAGATATTACAATAATGTTAACTATGCTTCTGGTGTATATTTACACCGATCAGGCAGAACATTCTGACCACCTCCTTGTTTCTACGCTCATTGTCAGCTCCACTTACTATATAGGTGCACTTTGTAGTTCTACAGTTACAGACTGTAGTCCATCTGTTTCTCTGATACTTTGTTAGCCCCCTTTTACCCTGTTCTTCAGTGGTCAGGACCCCCATGGACCCTGACAGTGCAGGTACTATTTGGGTGGTGGATCATTCTCAGCACTGCAGTGAGACAGATGTGGTGGTGGTGTGTTAGTGTGTGTTGCGCTGGTCTGAGTGGATCAGACACAGCAGTGCTGCTGGAGTTTTTAAACACCTCAGTGTCACTGCTGGACTGAGAATAGTCCACCAACCAAAACTGTCCAGCCAACAGCGTCCTGTGGGCAGCGTCCTGTGACCACTGATCAAGGACTAGAGGATGACCAACACAAACTGTGCAGCAGCAGATGAGCTATCGTCTCTGACTTTACATCTACAAGGTGGACCGACAAGGTAGGAGTGTCTGATAGAGTGGACAGTGAGTGGACACAGTGTTTAAAACTCCAGCAGCACTGCTGTGTCTGATCCACTCGTACCAGCACAACACACACCAACACACCACCACCACGTCAGTGTTACTGCAGTGCTGAGAATGATCCACCACCCAAATAGTACCTGCTCTGTGAGGGTCCATGGGGGTCTTGACCACTGAAGAACAGGGTAAAAGGGGGCTAACAAAGTATCAGAGAAACAGATGGACTACAGTCTGTAACTGTAGAACTACAAAGTGCACCTATATAGTAAGTGGAGCTGATAAAATGGCAATGTATATGCTATAACAGTTCAATGTTTTTGATCAGTATTTGTGCTGTTTGAGCGCTGTTTTAATAGTGAATGAATAACGAGTCCAGAGCTCAGCTGTGCAGAAACATCCTGATCCTGCTGCTCTTTGAAACACAAGGCTTTTTACTCTTCATGTGAGGAACCTATTTATATCCGCTGTGTAACAGGCGGAACGACGTCAGCGCCGCCGCCACTCAGAACGAAACTAAAACCTTACCGGAGTTCTGAATTTTCAGGAGCTGGCCGTCGACTGAAGTGTGGAAAAACGGCTCCGAACAGGTGAGAAACTTCACAACTTTACCAGAAACTGCAGCGAATGTTATGTTTGTAGCGCTTCAGTGAATGTGGGCTGATTTCATGTGGACTGGAGGAGGAAAGTTTGGCTTTTAGAGAAGCTCAGGCTACTTTATAATATCAACCACAGACTTCAGAGTGAGTTAACCCCCTAACCCCTAAATCTCAGGCCCATTGCACACTAAGGCTTTTTACTCAGTACCTACAGGGCCTTCAGTGCAAACTGACTGAACTGTTCTTACACACACACACACACATATACACTCATATATATATGTACACACATTTTGGGCTTTGGGCCTGTCCTGGCCATTTAAAGGGTTAAACAGCAGGCCTGTTGTTGTTGTTGTTGTTCTTCTTCTTCTTCTTCTTCTTCTTCTTCTTCTACTACTACTAATAATAATAATAATAATAATAATAATAATAATAATAATAATACGTAGTAGTAGTAGTAATATTCAATAAACCTTATTATTATTATTATTATTATTATTATTATTATTATTATTAGTAGTAGTAGTAGTAGTAGTATTCAATAAACCTTATTATTATTATTATTATTATTATTATTATTATTATTATTAGTAGTAGTAGTAGTAGTAATATTCAATAAACCTTATTATTATTATTATTATTATTATTATTATTATTATTATTATTATTATTAGTAGTAGTAGTAGTAGTATTCAATAAACCTTATTATTATTATTAGTAGTAGTAGTAGTAGTAGTAGTAGTAGTAGTAGTAGTATTCAATAAACTTTATTATTATTATTATTATTATTAGTAGTAGTAGTATTCAATAAACTTTATTATTATTATTATTATTATTATTAGTAGTAGTAGTAGTAGTAGTAGTAGTAGTAGTATTCAATAAACTTTATTATTATTATTATTATTAGTAGTAGTAGTATTCAATAAACTTTATTATTATTATTATTATTATTATTAGTAGTAGTAGTAGTATTCAATAAACTTTATTATTATTATTATTATTATTATTATTAGTAGTAGTAGTAGTAGTAGTAGTAGTAGTAGTCGTCTTCAATAAACCTTATTATTATTAATAGTAGTAGTATTCAATAAAACCTATTACGATTTTTTTTTTTTTTAGACTTACAATATATTACTTAACAACAACTACTAACTACTGACTAATATGTCAGTTATGTGCAGAAGTCAGAGATCACCCTGCATTTATTTCATTTCCAGTCAATGTCAGTGTGAATGTGTTTGGCATTACTTCCTTCCTAAGAAGCATAAAATGCTAAACCAACTCCTAATACTGAACTTTGTAGGTGTAAAACAATATCACTGCAGATTTCTTTGTCTCCGGAAAAGAGTAGAAGTGGTAATAAAGTTAAGAAAACACGCTAAACACTGAAACATCTGCTTTTATATTTAGTTGCTGAGGCTGTTCTGAGTAGAGATTTTACACAGTGCTGTAGTTCTGGGCCCACATACAGGCGCATGCAGCTTTAATGGGTGAACTGAAGTGTCACCTCCAGCAAAGACTTAAAAAAGTTATATTTGTTGGTAAATTTCATTTTGGATTTGGTGAATGTGACACCGCCAGTGGTAAAGGGAGGTGGACAGGAAGTCTCACAGTGCACAAATCAGGCTTGTTTTACCTGTTCACCCACACAGAGCAGCTTCTCCATTATCCCATATTTCAGTCCTCGTTCATTCAGACTGTGCTTAAGAGAAAGAGACATCAGTGGTGGACAGTAACTAAGTACATGTAATTCTTTACTGTGCTTAAGTAGTTTTTTCGTGTATCTGTACTTTACTGAAGTTTTTCCATTATGGGTGACTTTTTACTTTCACTCCACCACATTTCAAAGTCAAATATCTCACTTTTCACTCCACTACATAATGAGAAATCTGTCGCTCCTTTTGGTTTGTGTGTGCATAAAAACGTAACATGTCAAAACGAAAGAAGCGTGAAGCAGCACACCAAGTTTTTATTAAACTTAAACTTGTAACTAAGTTGCAAATAAATCTTAAACTGAAACTTTGCTTGTTTATAAAATGTTATTTCAGAGCTGCTCAGTTCTACCTGATGGAAACTTCAGTGTTTTGTGATTATGATAATTTTAATAGACATCAGTGTCACTAATTAATGATTAAAAGACTGGTTTACCAAGAGCGACACTGGAGTATTTTCACCTAAAATGAGTTAATGAAGCAGAGTCTTGTTACAAAGATGATAATAGAACATTAAAGCCATAATTAAACTTTTAGTACGTTTACTTTCCATACTTAAGTACATTTGAAGGCAAATACTTTTGTACTTTTACTCAAGTGGAGGTCTAAAGGGAGGAACTTTTACTTTTACTGGAGTAATATTTTACATTGGGCATCTCTACTTTAACTCAAGTACATGGTTTATGTACTTCGTCCACCACTGTGAGAAATGCTCTGTGTGTGTCAAAGTACAAACATACAGTGACTTTTTATGGCCAGTAGATTATTCTGCTGACCATATCTAACTCCAAAGGCATGGAGATTATACCGATAGAAATTAGAACTAAATGCCAGTCAGAAAATGTGAATTAACAGAAAAACTGAATTCTTTTTAAAATTCATTTCTGTATAGCAGCAAAAAATGGTTCTTCCATCATTACAAGCTTGACATTGTTACTGTAGAAGAACCCTTTTAGGTGCTATATAGAACCATTTTCAAATAGGTTCTATATAGAACCATGTACAACACGTTCTCCATCAATATGAAGAACGTTTTCACCATGCAAAGAGCTCAATGTTCATGGTTCTCTATAGAACTACTGTCTTTACAGAAAAAATTGAAGATCTTTAAGATCCCAGATTGCTTGACAGCATTGGTCTTGGGCTAATTCTAAGCTGACCTTCAGCTCCTGTACATCCCTAATAACTCCATCCAGTCTTGTTTGTTCCCTCTACAATCAGCTGAATGAAGCACTTAAAGTCATCTTGCTGCTGAGGTAAAATCTCTTTGTAAAACTCTCTCTGCTGCTCCAGTAACTGGGAGAGTACAATCACTGTGACCACTGAAATATGTTCACAAGGGGCTGTTTTAGCATGTTTAGCATGATGTATAAGGAAGTGAGAGAGGTTGGAGAGGTTGATATCCGGTCAGGCCTCTATGTCCGAGGCAGAGTAGGCCCAAAAATCCACCAACCTGGACTACCGCCGCTAACTCCAACATTTATGCAATTATTTACAATATTGAAGCGAAATACAGATCAAAGTCAGCTTGGAAGGTAGACAGCTGTGTTTAAAACCACCAGACAGGACTAAAAAGGATTGTTTGTGCTGTCAGTGATGCACAATGTGGTTCCCGATTCCAGCAGCTAGTGTGGCTGTTGTTTTCTTTAACAAAGTTATTACATTTGATGGAATAACTTTCCGTGAGGGAGCTTCTAGAGACCTTAAAACCTTCAGACGTTTGGTTCTTGTCACCACCACTGTGAACAATTCTCTGTGAGTCAGTAAGCATTTCTCATTAAAATCACTCTGAATGTCCTTGTTAACATCTCAACCCTTTACTTACATAGAAATGTTGAAAAATCAGATGAATATAAGTTTTGATACTTAACCCCTTACATGGCCAGCAGGCCCAAAGTCTTATTACACACTTCTATGACCTAATAATAAGCCTTAGTATGTCTTAAGCCTGAGGTTTTGAGGAGTTTTGTACAGGAGAAAGTGACAATCAAAATAATATAATGACTGAAATAACTCATGGTGCTTTTGGTTTCGATATTTAAGTACATTTAAACTATTTTTTACTTCTGTACTTTTACAATAAATATAAGCAGGAGAGAAATATAAACAGGAGATTTCTACTTTTACTCAAGTTATACTTAACCAAGAGCATTTCTGCTTCCTCTTTAGTGCAGAAACATTGTACCTTGTCCACCCCTGTTTATAACATGCTTTGTTTCTGACGTTGACCATAGACCGTTGAATCAAGACCATATAAGTGCTCAGTCAGTCTGCCCTCCGCTTTACTTTTGTGGATCCTTATGCTGTAAAATACATTATTGAGGAAGTCAGACTATAAAAAGAATTGTAGCCTGGCTGTAGGTTTGGTCCATCTTTCTTGAGGCCAATGTTTTTATCCATATCATGCTGTGTGTTGTTTCTGTATTCAAACTGCAGTTTAGCATGGAAGATAAATCTGTCTTACTGTTACAGGGACATTTACTACAGTTTTAATGAGACACATACACTAAGAAAGAATTAATAACATTAAAACAGTGATAAGTATTGTAACAATACACTAAATTCAGAGTATTACAGTGGGGTCTTGATTCAATATATGTTTTGCTACAGCAAAAATAAGGAGTTGTTGAAAATGTGCCGTATGTTAATATGGTGATGGTCCAATTTTTAGCTTTTGAAACAAAACCTGTGATTTATAGTATCCCAATCTAAAGCTGTGGCCACAAGCTAATATGTTAGCTCCAGGCTAACACACTGGCCACAAGCTAATCACAATACAACAGTACAATATGATACACTGCAATATGTATAATATAATTCAGTACAATATGATGCACTGTATTGTTCCAGCCAATCCCATTATAATTTTTTTGGATATTCCAGGTTTGGCAGTAAAATGTGTATATTTATGCAACAACCTTATTTATTTAACTAAATATTTATTTACTTGTTCATGGTTCTGTCAAGGAGCAAATTGGGGTTTTCTGTTATTATTAATTTGTGGCATTTTTCAGTTTATGTGAGCTATGTTTAAAGAAAACATTCTCTCTGTACATATGTCAGTACTGTAATAGAAGGTTTTCTGCTGGATTGTTTCAAAGTGTTTTTCCATGCACTGTTTAAAGCATCATTTAACGATATTTCAGGGAAATCATAATAATCCAGTCATGACGCTGTCGAAGCAGAGAAGCACTCTTTCACGCCTGTCCATCATTCTCCTTGGAGAGGATTGGTCAGGAAGGAGCTCAACTGGAAACACCATTCTGGGCAGATCAGAATTCCAGGTTGATGGAACCTCTCCAGAGCCGTTAACGGTGGGGTCAGGAGATGTCGAGGGCAGAAGAGTGACTGTAGTGAACACCCCTGGTTGGGAGCCAGGGTGCCACCCAAAGGTGCCACTCCGAATCCTGGAGAGAGGATGTGGCCGTGTGTCTTGGGATACAGGCCAGGGCCCCCACGCCCTTCTGCTGACTGTTCCCATCTTCCTTGACATGGAATGGAACCAGAAGGTTGCAAAAAGGCTGCTGAAGCTGTTTGATGACAACATATGGAGACACACCATACTTCTGTTTTCCAAAGCTGACCTGCTAGGTTTGATGAGTTTGGAGAGATACCTGGAAGGTAGTGGGAGGCCCCTCCAGGCCCTGGTGGAAAAGTGTGAGCAGAGGTACCATGCCCTCAACAACCGGAAAATTGACAACCGAAAGCAGGTCAGGGAGCTGCTGGACAAGATTGATCAGATGCTTGTAGAAAATGGTGGGAAGACTTTCCAGATGGTTGACAGCGGTTGGGAAGAGAAAGCAATGGTAGAGCATAAGACAGAGGCCCTTAAAATGAATGTGCTGGAAGAACAGCTGAAAGAGATGATGGAACGACTGGCACAGCTGGAGGAGGAGCTATGTGAACGGAGAGAGAGAGAAATCTGTCTCAGGCCAGAGAAATATATGGTCAAATCACTGAGACAAGAGGAGGAATACCCAGACTTTTTGCCTGAGCAAAATACTCTCCAGTGCAATCAACCTTTACAAAATGAGATGGAGCCTCAGGTGGACATGCAGGATCCTTCACTTGAAAACATCTACATGGAAGATGAAGGGAATGAGGCTTTACCTGGGTTTTACCCAGAGGACAGAGCTGAAATACCAGATGTGTACAGTGAACTGGGCGTACAAGAAGCAGAGTTTGAGGAGGAAAAGGTCACAACAACTGACTGTAACTTTTCTAGTGATGAAGAAATGCCTTCTGATGGCTTAGCGACAAGAATATATGAGGAACGTTATGCTGAATTCGAGGCTGAAATATCACAAATAAACAGGGAGGAAATGCAGAACCAGCAATCAGTAGAGCAGAAAGAGCATGTAGGAGAGTATGAGTGGTCTGAGAAGGAGCCCACTGTCAAACAGGCATGTGAGGACAGACTGGGAAGCCAGTCAGAGGATGAATGTCTGAGCCATGCCTCAAGCAGAAATCTATCCATGACCAGCAATGATGAAGAAGAACTGCACACACAAAATGAAAGTGATTCAAATGACACAAACAGAGCTGAAGGGCTCACTGTGATGGAACAACCTAATCTGCAGGGGTCTGACCTGCAAAATGGTGATGAGAAATATGCTGACCCAGAAGACAAGGATCATCCCGAAGCCATCGAAAACAGAGAAGCCGATTGATGTCAAAGAAGAGCAGACAGCAAACAAGACAGACTGCAGTGGGGCTGCAGTGAGGGATGCTTATGAGGATGCCTTCAGACAGGTAGAGGAAACACATGTGGATGAAGCTGCCCAGGAGGCAGAACTGATTAAAAAAGAGGAAAACAACCAGCTGCAGTCGTCTACTGTGTTGAACGCTACTCAAAATTGGGGCCACCTAAGGAATGGGACAGAGAGTTTCATAGTCGTTTATAGTCAAATCGACAGCCATCAACAAGGTGAGTGAATATTAAAAATCGTTGATATACACATTTTTAGTTTTTAGAAATCATGTAGATACAGCCTTCAATTAATGACCAATTAGTCTTGTATCAGTATAACAAAAAAATGTTTTCTTTTTTTTTACAGGTGCAGTCAGGATTGATGTTCTTCAGGTTTTTATCTGCTGGAGAAACCCGAACCCTTCCTTTCGAACATCATCAATTTATTTCATCATATGCTGTGTCAGCATCGACTGGGCACTGTTCATAATCCAGTTCCTGTTTGTGACATGGTTATATCTCATAAATAAGAGCCTGAAGAGAATTTTATTCTCAAAACAGCCAAAGACAGGCGATCAAAATGAGAACACATTGGTGTTTCCTGGGCACCAGCAGCAACCAGCCAAGGAAAGGCACCAATGGGAGCATCAGGAAGACCCAGTACTGCTGGATGGTGTTGACTGGACTGAGGATTTGGATGGAGAGATGCACCAGCCTAGCAAGACAGAAGATGATGAAGGGATACCACAACACAACTTGAGAGGAGATGAAAAGATATCCCAATACAGAGATGACAGCAAGAAGGGTAATGATGGGACACCACAACACCGCAGGAAGGGAAATGATGTAGAGACACCCCAACATAGCAAGAAGGAAAATGATGGAGAGACGCCCCAACACAGCAAGAAGGGTAATGATGGAGAGACACCCCAAAACAGCAAAAAAGGAAATGATGGAGAGACACTCCAAAACAGCAAGAAGGGTAATGATGGAGAGACACCCAAACACAGCAAAAAAGGAAATGATGGAGAGACACCCAAACACAGCAAAAAAGGAAATGATGGAGAGACACCCAAACACAGCAAAAAAGGAAATGGAGAGACACCCCAACACAGCAAGAAGGGTAATGATGTAGAGACACCCCAAAACAGCAAGAAGGGTAATGATGGAGAGACACCCCAAAACAGCAAGAAGGGTAATGATGGAGAGACACCCAAACACAGCAAAAAAGGAAATGATGGAGAGACACCCCAACACAGCGAGAGGGGTAAAGATGGAGAGACACCCAAACACAGCAAAAAAGGAAATGATGGAGAGACACTCCAACACAGCGAGAGGGGTAAAGATGGAGAGACACCCAAACACAGCAAAAAAGGAAATGATGGAGAGACACCCCAACACAGCGAGAGGGGTAAAGATGGAGAGACACCCAAACACAGCAAAAAAGGAAATGATGGAGAGACACTCCAACACAGCAAGAAGGGTGATGATGGAGAGACACCCCAACACAGCAAGAGGGGTAATGATGGAGAGACACCCAAACACAGAAAAAAAGGAAATGATGGAGAGACAGCCCAACACAGCGAGAGCGGTAAAGATGGAGAGACACCCCAGCACAGCAAGAAGGGAAATGATGGAGAGACACACCAACACCACAGAAAGGTAAATGATGGAGGGATACCCCAACACAGCAGGAATGGCAAAGATGGAGGGATACCCCAACACAGCAGGAAGGGCAAAGATGGAGGGATACCCCAACACAGCAAGAAGGATAATGATGGAGAGACACCCCAACATAGCAGGAAGGGCAAAGATGGAGGGGTATCCCAACACAGCAAGAAGGGTAATGATGAAGGGATATCCCAATACAGCAGGAAGGGCAAAGATGGAGGGATATCCCAACACAGCAGGAAGGGCAAAGATGGAGGAATACCCCAACACAGCAGGAAGGGCAAAGATGGAGGAATACCCCAACACAGCAGGAAGGGCAATGATGGAGGGATACCCCAACACAGCAGGGAATGCAATGAAGGAGGGATACCCCAACACAGCAGGAAGGGGAATTATCAAGGAACACCCAAACTTATCGAGAAGAAGGATGAAGGGATAGTGCAGCACAGCAAGAAGAATAGTGACAGAGGGATACCCCAACACAACAGGAAGGTGAACAGTCCTACAGGTGAGCGTCATTTTTCTCACAACTCTGAGTTGCTTGCTTAATTATTTGATATTACTGGTGTGTGAGTTGATGTTTGCTGAAGGTGTTATCTTCCTCCACTGTAGGAGCTATGAAAGAAGAGGGAAAAGCTCCAAAAGAAAGATGTCCACCTGCTTCAGAAGAGAGAGCGTCCTCCTGGAACAAACTGAATCATCAAGGTCTGTCTAGGGTTAGATTATGAAGCTTTAGCTGATGATGTCACTGTCCCATTATGTTAAGAATTGGTAAAATACTTTTTTAAAGGAATGTTTTAAAGGAATAAACTAAATGAAAAGAGCCTCTTTTTACCCCACACGCAGTTGATTAGTCATTACATATTTCCTGTCCAAGGTTTGCTATTTTTTAAGTTTTGCACTGGCAAAATGGCCAAAATGTTGTCTATACTTTTTGTTCAGGTCTATTGACAACAGTATGCCATACAGTGTCAGAAACCACATAAGCAAGTCATTTTGAAATTACTGAACAACTACACAAAGCCAAATATATGAGAATTTAGACATGCAGTTAGCTCCATGCTGACCAGGTCTAAGCTTTCTTTACTTGTTAGCAACTCTAGTGCAAAACTAGACACTGTTTGTTGAAAATGAGCAATATAAATAATATATTCTAATATAAATAAATATTAGAATTTATACTTAAGAATTTTAAAATATCTGATATTCGTTTACGGAAGCTGCACAAAAGCTCTTTGTTTTTCTCCATTTTCTTCGTTTTCCAAGCAGACAATCAACAATTCAGTCTCTTCTGTTCATTGTAGGAGACACAGATGATGGAACAAATCCTGAAGGAGGTTTTGGAGGGAGTCAGTGTGGACACTTAAGCTGTGATCTCATTTCTATGCAAACAGACTTTCAGTGTTAGTTTCCTTGCCTTTCTCTTCATAATCAATAATACTTAATATGGCAACAGCATGTGAGAATGAATCTTGGTGATGTTACAGGTGACCAGAACTGTGATGAACAATTCCTTGTGAAAAGAGAGGAATTTAGGACAGAAAGAAAAGCCAGACGAAGTCAGAGTTTGGAACGCATCGTTACACTAAGCTGTGAGTTTTACGGTGAACTTCTTTTAAATGAAGAAAGGCTCTTGCATGTTTTCAGGGTTTGCTCTGTCAGGAGCGTAAACTATTTTAGCACTCCAGAACACCAGACCACACTAATTTCTTAGTGAAAAGGTTTGTTGTGCTTTTCAACCAGTGTTTTCTTCTCAAGGTCTCAGGGAAAAGGATATGAGAAACGAGAGAAGCATCAGAAAGATCAGAAGAGCCAAGAGCCTAGAACGATTTATTGAGCTCAGCTGTAAGTCTTGTATTTCTACTCAGATCCACACATTCACTACATATACATAGAAGATACTGCACATTTGTGTTAGGGACCGCAAGTTGATACGTTTCTCTACAATGAATTATTTCACATCAAACCACTCCGAATGACTGTTTACATCTCACTGATTTAAATCATAAATGTGGTTGAGTTGCTTCAGTGTTGAAGGTTTTTCCATTTCTGTTTTCATGCAATTTAACAACATCTCCCAATCTGACAGCACAGTTGTCTAAATAGTTCAACAGAACCTGTGTATAAATTTAATTACTGATCTGTCGAGTTTTTGAAGGCCCTGCTCTTCACAATTTTATCTAATAACACATACCATTTTCATGTTTCTACCAGGCCTCCCTCAGTGCAAGCATCCTTGATGAAGGAAGCTCATCTGATGGTTGGATCTCAGTGTGTTTGGTGTGAATGGCTGCATTGTGATGGACTCTAATTTGCTACAGTCAATGTTTCTTCATTATTTGTTTTTTAAGACTGTGCTTGAGAAGAAGTCTGTGAACAAACCTACTGCCATTTTAAACTGTCATTTAAAACGTCTCTTAATGCACTTTGCTGACACCTACTGGCCAAAGGAAAACAAAGACAACATGCTGCCATTTTGCATCTGAGCTACTGCCTCAAAAATCAATAGTAAACTGCACTGCAGTACTTATGTTGCTGCCTTTCTATTTGTCATATTCACATCTTATTTATCACATTCTATATATCATATCATATATTTATCATATCCTGTATATCATATTACCATCACATATTAGATAGTTGTAGATAGTATTATTGCCTTATAATTTTACCATTTTAATAGTATTTTTTGGAATGCACTGTGTTAGCTTTTAGCTTTGGAAAGTGCATGAACTGTCTAATAGAAAACCATGAGGTGCCTTGAGAATAAAGAGCAATTTTATAGTTTTGTTATCCAATAAAACCACTGTTTTTCATTCTCAGCTTGATTTATATTCCTTCCTTTGGAATCTGAGTTGGACTTTTTGCCAAAAGCTAAAATGCCATAGAAGATGAGAAGTATTTAGACATTAAACTCATTTTTCATGAGAAAGTAGTGAGTGTTCAGACAGTGATAATTTTTTATATAAATTCCAATAATTCCATAATGTCTTTTGACTTTGTACGTATATAAATAAAACTCTTCTGCTAAAAGAGCAAATTTAATATTTGCACACAAGCATTTAGACAAATCAGAACTGATTTGAAAAACTGTACTCTAGTCAGGCAAAACAAAAACAGAAGTCTTTGGAAATAATTCACTCATCATGTTTAGAAATAAAAGGGTTACATGTATGATCCCCAGAACATGCACAGTGAAGCATGAAGGTGGGAGCATCATGATATGTGGATGCTTATACTGCAAACAGTACTGGGGTTACATGTCATCAGATGGAGAAATGTACTACAACATATTAGGGGAGAATTTTATCTTACCGGCAAGAAATGAATCTGGGGAGATGACGGATGTTTCCATGACAAAGACTAAGACAAAAATAACAAAATAACTCCGTGCTGGATTCTAAAAAAAAAAAAGGTGAAGGTGTTTTTTCCATGAAAAAATTTAGGTAGGATTTTGAAATTTGAGTCCATCAGAGTGACCCTTGTAACCTTGAGAACTTTGACATTACTTATTACTGTAGACGTCTCAAAGCTGCCATCAACAGCTTTGCCACAAAGTACAAATGTTATTAACTTGTGATGCCTGAATAATTTTTTACCTGTCAATTAAATTTTAACCTTCTCAGCTCCTTGAGACCACCGGTGGTTCCAAAACACACTTTGTCATATTCTTCATAACTTTCATATTTCATAAGCTACATTCAAAAGGTGGGGCCATATGAGGCTGTAACTGTCTTCTTTCCAGTCAAATAGATGGGTGATGTAATTTTAAACCCTTATAATAAAAGAAGCTGAATTTTTTTTTCTACTGAAAGTCGACCCATTTTTCCAGAAATCTGGGCTATAAACTATAAACAGACGGTGTCTCTTCAGTGATCTGCTCTGTAAAAAGTATTTTTAGAAAATAATACAAAGAGCGTCTAAGATTTTTGGCTTTCAGCAGTACATTGTAAGCATATAGCAATATGTGTGATCATAAAACATGTTCTGTTCATTTGAGGGGAACTTTTACAAAAAAAAAAAAAATAAATAAATAAAATAAAAATTTGTATTTATTTTCATGCAGTTACTGAATAATTTGCCTTACGATTTAGTCATGAAAATTCAGATGGACAAACCAAAATATACCCTGGAGAATAAGAGGTTTGTTTTTGCTAATAAAAACATGCTTGTTCATATTTTTTTATTAAGTAAAAGTCAAAATATATTATGTGTACATTTGAAGTGGATATGTGCACTGGGAGTATATTCAAAATCTAAGAACGTGAATACTCGTTTCCCCTCACTGTACACCGTGGGTCAATTTCCCGGGAAGGAATTAGACCAAGTCCTGAACTGAATAGCATTTTGAAAGGAGAGTCACCTTTAAAATTAATTGTAGCCTAGAATTAAAATTAATCCCCATGGACGAAACCAGTTATGTCCAAAAGAATCCAGATACCCCTTCTTATTAGTGAATTCAGCAACCTGAAGGTGCGTCCACTGCTGATACACACACACACACACACACGGCTTGAAAAATCTTCATAGAAAAGCACTGTCAAAACAAAGGGATGCTCTGGAGCAGCTGCACCTGAGCTCAAGGTCACCACAGAAAATGCCAAGAGTGATATAAAACACCCCAGCGCTGAGCTGTGGACCAGTGGAACTGTGTTCTCTGGAGCAATTGAGCTTCATCCAATATCTTTGGGATAAGCTGGAGTGATCCAGGAATGACCACCCAACATCCGTACCTGGCCTCACTAATGCTCCATATGGAGAAAAAAATATAGACATGTATTTTTATATATTTTAAATACATTGCAGTCCATGCCTAAATACATTCCAAACAATATATTGCCATATTAACCAAATATATTTTAAAATGCATGGGAAAATATTGCACATAGAAATGTGAAATACAAAAATAAATGTATGTTAAAGTATTTATCAAATACATGTATAGAAAATGTCAAATCATCCAAATCCTGTCTAATGCACTTCACACACACACAAATTATATTTTATATATAGCTGAAGTACAGTGTATGTGCAGGTAGTGCCTGAATGACAGTGGTGGACGAAGTACACAGATCATGTACTTGAGTTAAAGTAGAGATACCCAAGGTAAAATATTACTCCAGTAAAAGTAGAAGTTCCTCCCGTTAGACCTCCACTTGAGTAAAAGTACTAAAGTATTTGCCTTCAAATGTACTTAAGTATCGAAAGTAAAAGTACTAAAAGATGAATTATGTCTTTAATGTCCTATTATCATCTTTGTAACAAGACTCTGCTTCATTAACTAATTTTAGGTGAAAATACTCCAGAGTCTCTCTTGGTAATTCATTAATTAGTCATTAATTAGTGATGCTGATGATCTATTAAAATGATCATAAGCACAAAACACTGAAGGCAGACAGTTTCCATTAGGTAGAACTGATATATATATATATATATATATATATATATATATATACACACACACATACACATACACACACACACACACACACACATATCAGTCAATATGGGGTTCTTGTGGCTGAATGCAATCAAATCCTCACAGCAATGTTCCAGCATCTGACGTGAAGCCTTCCCAGAACAAAACAGACAGAGATGATGATTGATTATGGAGGCGGTATTTTTTGAGCTGTTGCAGAAAAGCAGGTGCTTCTAAGCCTTCAGTATAACTGCAGTGCTGTGTCTGTCCCATTTGAGAACCTGCCAGACGGTCATGCCCAAGACTTTGCTCTGCTGACCATGGAGCTGTGTACTTCCAGTGCTGACAGAGGGTCCACAGATTTTGTGCATTCAACTCCCACCATGACCCCAAACCTCTTCCTATGTGGATTATCATTGCTGTTGAGAGGGTTTCTGGCGTGTTGGCTGCCGTTTTTCACCGGCTCTGAACCGTTTGTCGCCGCTTTGTCTTTTCTGATCTGTTTTTAATTTGTCAGGAATAAACTATAACCTGAAATAAGTTCAATGGTTGTGACTTTGAATCCACACAGGATTCACTGGACTGTTGAGTCCTTTGGGAAGCTGACTGTTGTCGTTCCTGCTATTCCTTAACATTGGCCTGCCTGCCACAAGTCCTCTTTAGCTGCGCTGGCACCTTTACAGCGTGGTTGATGAATGAGTTTCCACTCCCTCGGTTAGCTGTGTCCATCAGTTAGTCATCTGATCAGTTTCCCCATCCTCTCAGTTACCTGTGGGTGTAGGGTTAGTTTGTGTGCCAATGTGGTGTCAGCAATGCTGTAGTGTTTGCTATTCTTGACTGATGCAGTTGCCTTGTAATCTACTTAACGCAGTGTAGTTTAGATGCTCTGCAACAGACTCACTGAGAACTGTATGGGATGTAAAGAAGAGGCCCGAGGCTTTGTTGAAGTGTTAGCTTTAGGACTGCTTTCTTGTTTCATCCTTGATATGGCAAACTTCACAGATTCAAGAACTAAACTCTCACGTCGAGCCTCTGCAATTTACGTCCTTCATATTTTGCCTGAAATAGTCGGTGATGCTACATTCACCGTTCCTTTAGCAGTGGTGGACACTAACTAAGTAAATGTAATTCTTCACTGTACTTAAGTAGTTTTTTGTGTATCTGTACTTTACTGAAGTTTTTCCATTTTGGGTGACTTTTTACTTTCACTCCACCACATTTCAAAGTCAAATATCTCACTTTTTACTCCACTACATTATGAGAAATCTGTCGCTCCTTTTGTTTTATGTATGTATAAAAATGTAACGTCAAAACGAAAGAAGCGCAAAGCAAAAACACCAATCAGGGCACAGCGGTCACTTTGTTTTGAGCTTGTTTTGACCTGTTGGTCATACCGACCCAGTGCAGCACACGGTTCAACGTCAGTGCAGCAGCGTAAAATATTGGGAGAGTCTATTCAACATAAATGATGAACTAACCTAACTTTGAGTAAACAGACCACAACATAGAAATATGTACCCATATGCAGTTGTGACTGACGTGTCTTTTTTCTGAATTTATACAAACACTATTTCATTTTATAGTAAGTTTGTTTTTTCTAGTTTATGTTTATGAACAGAGACCTACAGATGCAGTTTAGTAAAGAAAACTCATTTGTGAATCTGAGTTTAAAGCAAGTTTTTATTAAACTTAAACTTGTAACTAAGTTGCAAATGAATCCTAAACTGAAACTTTGCTTGTTTGTAAAATGTTATTTCATGGCCACTCGGTTCTACCTAATGGAAACTGTCTGCCTTCAGTGTTTTGTGATTATGATCATTTTAATAGACATCAGCGTCAAACTACTTCATGAAATTCTATTAAAAGACTGGTTTACCAAGAGAGACACTGGAGTATTTTCACCTAAAATGAGTTAATGAAGCAGAGTCTTCTTACAAAAATGATAATAGGACATTAAAGCCATAATTAAACTTTTAGTACTTTCACTTTCGATACTTAAGTACATTTGAAGGCAAATACTTTTGTACTTTTACTCCAGTG